CACCCCCCCTCCCTCCAAACCCTCCGCGCAGTCAGACAGAGACGTGCAACGCAAAAGAACGGAAAGAGAGGGAAGAAATCTCTCTGCCTCCGAGCAACAATTACAATCGAGGGAAAAGCAGCTCCTCTCAAATCTCAGCGGAGCGCGCGCGGCAGCCCCCTTAGGAGACAGTTTTTTTTGGTGTTTTTTTTTTTTTGCGCTTTGCACTTCCCGGCTAAGAAAGCCAATACTCCATCATCTCCTTCTAGCAAAAATCGCCTATATTTTTTCATCATTGTTCATTTTCTCGATTTTTTATCCGAGAGCAGACGCATCCTTGAGCATGCACCATTATTATTTTCTTTTTTTTGTTGTTGTAAATATATTTGTGGGGGAAGGGGATGGGCATGGTTGCAGCCGCGTCAAAGCCATGGTGAAAGGTTTCTGACGTGCGAATAAGGAGGCGTGCGAGTCAGGAGAGTCTACGGCTGCCACCGCCACCACCAGCAGCAGCAGCAGCAGCAGCAGCAGCACCACCACCACCACCACCAGTACGGCGTTCTGCTTTGCCTTGCTCTTGACGTGAAAAGAGTCCCTCCTGATTTAGGAAGGGGGTACCCTACCCCCTACCCCTCCCGCCCCTGCAGCCGCACCCGTGCCAAAACCCACCAGCACCACCACTGCTCCACCAAAGCCTAACCACGCCCTGCCCCCTCCCCCCTAAACAATTGCAGCCTGGCCAAGAAAGCTTGCGGCGAAAGGAGGTGGCAGTGGCGCGGCGGTGGTGGCAAGCCTTACCCAAAACTGCATGTAGCGCCAGGATATTCATCTTCAGTCGTCGGGCGAAAGAGTAATAGGGGCGCAAAGGAGAGAAAGAGGGAAAAATAATAACAATAATAAAGAAATATGCTGCACTTCAACTTCAAAACTGCAAGATAAACGAACGCAGAGGTGAGCTGATGCCGTTCATTTATCTTGTTGCTTACAGTTAATAATAGTCAAACGAAGAACTAATGAGAAGTATTACAGTATAATTATTCCTATTTAATGCGACCTGTTTCTCCACCTACGACGCCCACATCATCGTCTCCTAGCAGCAGCGCCCTCCTTTGGGCGGTAGGGGCGTGTGCTCAGGCACACCGCGCATGTCCCCCCCCCCCCCACTGCGCCCGACTCCACCCGACTCCGCCGCAACAGCCGCCGCCATCGGCAAGTCGCACACGAGGTCTTATTCAGGCCGCATAAGCACGCTAAATCTGCTCCCGGCAGAACAACTTTCTCTCCGCGAAGGTGGCGGGGCGTAACCCCGTGGCGTGGCGGGGCGTGGCGGGGCGTGGCGGGGCGATGCGGTGCGTGGCGTGGCGGGGCGTGGCGGGGCGTGGCCGGGCGGGGTGCGATGACTAAGACGTAATACGCGGTAGGAGGATAGGGGGTATGGGGGCACGGCGAAAAGGGAAAGGCACCGGGGAAAGGGCCCTCGAACCGAATCCGCTTTCCCCTCGTTTACTCAGCTGGTTACACACTCACAAACACACACACACACACACACACACACACACACACACACACACACACACACGCACGCACGCACGCACACAGGCGCAAACGAGCGAAGTGGGTTAGTGCTGGCTTGTCATTCCAAAGTCCTAATTAAGACAAACACCCCGGCAAAATTCTCCCCCCGTCTTATTAATAGTCCCCCCCAGTGAAGTGGCACACGGGCCGTGAAGACGGCAAGGTGTATCACTCTGGGGGAATCTTGTAAACTTGAAAGTGTGAATGCCCATTCGTTCACTCGAGTGAAGAAGTGAATTTTTCTTAGAAATTTCACGAATACTTTTCCTGTATGAAGTTTACACACATACAAGTGTGCGCCATTCACACACTTTCCGGTGCTCCGTCACGCTCCCCGCTCACCTTGAAGTGCTCGTACTGGGCGGGCTCGGGCGGGCCGGGCGGCGACGCGGGGCCCTGGGCGGGCGGCGCCTCGCCCGCGTCCACGACCACGCCGTCGACGGAGGGCCCGAAGGCCCAGGTGAAGTCAGGCGGGTCGAGGGGCGTGGAGAGCAGGGCGTGCAGAGGGCGCTCGCGCAGGCACGCCAGCAGGTAGGGCCCGGGCAGCTCGGTGGAGCAGTTGACGTGCCGGGCGACCTGGTGCGCGTAGGCCAGCGGGTCGCCCACCAGCGACCCGGGGCTCAGCGCCGACCCGGACATGAGCACGGCGCGGTGGAACAGCAGCCCTGCAACAGAAAACGGTGTTTCTTTAAGAAGGGGAAAAGAGCACACTTTCATGTAAAATTTCGCACTAGGTACTTTTTGCCGCAAAAAACTTCTTTTGGAGCATCCGTTCTCTAAACGCAAGAACCATGTGCCCGAAACAAAGGGATACACGCTGCCGTGGGGTCATCCAGAAAGTGCGTCAGAGGCATTCGTCAAGTTACGGGAGCACGGCGCCTGTGATGCTCGGTGTAGGCCAGCCCGCGGGACGCACATGCATTGCACCAAGGATGTTGCCTATCTACCAGGCGCTAAGGAAGCCTGCAGCCGATGAGCTTCGCAACGGCGGGCGACGGACTTTCCTTGCTGGATGACCTCCTATTTTAACACAGAATAAACACGCCGAAACAAAATGGCGAAAATAGAACCGCTTCTGCTCAGTTCGCGCGCGGCGCTCTTTCCACCGTTTTAAAGCGCGGAGTTTAAGGAAGAGAGAGGAGCGCAATATGGGGGGTATTTGTCTGTGAGTCGTGCGCCGTGGCCCCGCGGTGCTGTGGCTGCGGCCCCAAGGCGCCAGCCCCGCCTCACCCCACCCCGCCGCAGCGCGTCTCTGATTGGAATCGCGGGGCGTGGCGGGGTGAGGCGGGGCGTGGCGGGGCGTGGCGAGGCGTGGCAATAGTGCCCCGCCCGCCGCAGCTACATACACTCACAGCTGGTGTATCCCCGGGAAACAAAACGCGAGGTAAGCCCTTCCCTCCCGGACCGACCGCAGCCCCCCCCCCCCCCACTACTACTACTACTGCTGCTGCTGCTGGCAAACACGGCGTAACTTGGCCCAATGCTCTTTTGTTTGAGTTGGCCTGCTGCTTGCGTAGCGGCGTGCTGAGGGTGCCGTCCTTGTCGCACCCGCACGGGAAAGAGGGGCGAGAGAGGGAGAGAGGGAGAGAGGAGAGAGAGAGAGAAAGACGAAGGCGAACTGCATCATCTAGCGGGGCGAGGCTTAAGAGTGTTGGCTGAGCACAGCCCGGGCTACTAGGCCAGGCTAGGCCGGGCAAGACTTCGACTCGCCTGACTGAGAGAGATCCGAAAAGGGTTCACTGTTAAATCCCCTACAAAGACTGTGCAGCAAGGCTTTCGTATAGACTCGCGGAAGCGTTTACTTTGCAATAGCACGGCGTTTGCTTTGAAATTGCAAAGGCATTATCGTTGCGAACTTGCAGTGAAACACTCCGAGAGACTTGCAAAAATCATACTCTGGAAATCCAAGTGTACGAATGTCGCACACCTGCAGGTGTTTGAAAAAATTCACGCATTTGTAGGAGAGCGATAAAATATTCACACATTCCAACTTGGATTTCTAGAGTACTTATTGGCAAGTTCGTGCAGGAGTAAGAAGTAGGCGTTGATGATGTTATATTACGAACATAGTACAGGACCTCTTTAAAGTAAAGTTCATGGCATTCTGATATTGTTAATGTGTTAAGCCATCCCTTGTGTTGAGAAATATACCCTCAGGTTCCATCCCTACACCTACAGTGGCTCAGAAACTAATTTTATCGACAAGTGTACCAAAAATGCATTTTGGGAGATACAAGCCCAATTAAAATATGGATCAACATTACGTACAAAAAGATGTCACTTATAAACATGTTTCCACAAATTTTGGGGGGATTGTGATTTGGCGGTTCTCAACTAATAAGCAAATCGGTAAACCGCGTGAACAAGCAGCAATCTATTCCCTCCACCTATCAGGGGGAATATGAAGAAACATTACCATGGATATGGCATGCGACTCGTCATCGTCACCGCGTTTGCATCACAGTATTCCCATAGACGACACGGTCGGCGCCCGTCGCTCGCAAACGCGCTGTGAATGCATCGATCAGATCACTGGAGGGGCTTGTTAGCGCGGGCGCCGCATGAGCGGTCGCCACATGCAAGCGCCCCAGCTCCAGCCCGCCAGCGTGACGACGGCCCGAGAGCAGGCCCTCCAGTGCGCACCCGGGCGGGCAGTGCGGGCAGTGCAGGCAGCCGTCAACGGGCGAGTACCAGCCTGCCTGCCTAGTAGCGGAGACCCCCCTCTCGCCCCCCCCCTCTCTCTCTCTCTCTCTCTCTCTCCCTCCCTCCC